ACGGGATCCCACAGGATCCTAACCTAGCTGATACCATGTCAGAATGAGGAATGGATGTTGCATTGATGTTGGTTGGGGTACATATGACAAACCCTAACTTCTGTACCCCCTAAGACAAACCTCACTACAGGCTACAACATTTGACAGTAGTCTACACTTCAGGTAGTTACAAAACAATATATAGAAATATATATTATTCTTGACAATCCTCCCGCTTTCCATCACCCCGCCCCAATCTCCCGCTTTCCATCACACCGCCCCATTCTCCCGGTTTCCATCACCCTGCCCCATTCTCCCGCTTTCCATCACCCCGCCCCATTCTCTCTCGATTTCTATCATCCCGCCCCATTCTCCCGCTTTCCATCACTCCGCCCCATTCTCTCTCCTTCCATCACCCCGCCCCATTCTCTCTCCTTCCATCACCCCACCCCATTCTCCCGCTTTAAATCACCCCGCCCCATTCTCCCGCTTTCCATCACCCTACCCCATTCTCCCGCTTTCTATCACCCCGCCCCATTCTCCCGCTTTCCATCAACCCGCCCCATTCTCCCTCCTTCCATCACCCCACTCTATTCTCCCGTTTTCCATCATTCTGCCCCATTCTCCCTCCTTCCATCACCCCACTATATTCTCCCTCCTTCCATCACCCCGCCCCATTCTAAGGCTTTCCATCACCCCGCCCCATTCTCCTGCTTTCCATCACCCCGCCGCATTCTCCCGTTTTCCATCACCCCGCTTCATTCTCCCATTTTCCATCACCCTGCCCCATTCTACCATAAATATTACCATTACCATTACCATTACTATTACCATCACGATTACCATTACAATTACCAATACAACTACCTTACCATTATTATAACCACTACTATTTCCATTACCATTACAACTACCATTTCCATTACCATTATCACTACCAATACCACTACCATGATTATTTCCATTACCATTACCACTACCATTACGATTGCCATTACAACTACCATTACCATTACAAGGCCCTGCGATATCAGGAAATTTACCCAGAAATTCCTGATTTTCAGGGTTTTTTTTTTTACCTACCCTGAAAATCCAGTGTTCAGCTTTTCCTAGGGCTGATTTTTCAGCCTTCACATGCCACATGACTCTGAACTTTCAGCAATTTTTTTGAAGTGACACTGATGCCTTTACGTTGTAACGAGTTTGACCCTGAAAGCGAATCCTACTAGGTACGAGTGTACTTGACCGGAAGTACTGGGAAAATCAGATTCCCGCGGTGTCAGCAGGGCCTGTCGTTGACTATCGGACAATTTTGCCCACACTGATGGCCCCTTAGTTGGTGCGCCTGGTCCGTTCATTGGCCACATTTGCAACATTAAGTGACTTGACCAATTACAAGGTTGCAGCACAGAGATGCTGGCAGGCTGCGCTGCGAGGGATTCTGGCGGTCTAGGTCGTGCTGGCAAGCACTGATGCATCCACGCCTCCCAGCCGTGCTACCTGCCATCCAGCCTCACATCCCGTTTTGCTGTTTGCTTCCTTCCTAGTGTTTTTACTACTAGTAAAATAAAGACTACCGTACTAGTATCAGCCTTTTTCTGTAGGGAACACTGATGTATCACACTTTTTTTTAAGTAACACTGAACTTTCAGGCTTTTTTTTTAGGCGACCCTGACGATCAGGGTCTAGGGGCAGAGGGACCCTGATACCCTTACGTGCCTAAAAGTGAATATGAGGGCCTGACCATTACCATTACCATTACGATTATCATTACAACTACCATTACCATTACCATTATCATTACCAAAACCATTACCACTACCGATCCATTACGATTACCATTACCATTACGATTACCATCACAACTACCATTACCATTACCATTACTATTATCATTGCCATTACTGTTACCACTACCATTACCATTACCATTACGATTATCATTACAACTACCATTACCATTACCATTACCATCACCGTTACCACTACCATTACAATTACCATTACCGTATTCTCCCGGACATAACAACCTGGGGTATAGCTAAAAATACAGGGAAAAAATGGGGGGGGGGGTCTCCTCATAGGAAAAAAATACATAATACCCGGGTCTTTACATATGGCATATCTTAGTGTTAGTGTTTTTTTAATTAGTCAATGTGGGTGTTTTGCTGGTCGTTTTAGCATCACTGCCTGAGGCGCGAATGTGAGCTTCGGCCTCGAACTTCATCGCCCCCACGAAAATGGCATGTGGCACCTCTCTTGCCACTTGCAACGAAAGATTCACCTGCACGTGGCGACAGAGAAATAGTGGGAGGGGGCAAATCTCGGCAGATTGCCTTTGAATGTACCGCGAAATTTCATTGAGGGAGAAATTCACACGACATTGTTCCGTATTGCAGCTACTCGTTAACGACTATAATAATGAATCCGTAAGAAAAGGGGGGGTGTTATAGAAAATCAGCCAAAAAGGGGGGTATAGTAGAAACGAGGTCTATCATAACACCCACCCCGCACAAGCTACCCGGGGGTGTACAATTATGGGGGGGTGTTTTGTCCGGGAGTGTACGGTATTATTTCCATTTCCATTACCATTACCATTACCATTACCATTACCATTACCACTACCATTACCATTACCATTACTATTACCTTTACCATTACCATTATAATTTCCATTACCATTACTATAACCATTACCACTACCATTACCATTAATTTTATCATTACCATTACCATTATCATTACCATTACTGTCGAAATATGTTATTCATATTTATATAATTGTGTGTAGTGTTAGTGTAGTTAGTTATGTTTCCCGTTTGGTGGTGCACCTCATTACCCTAGTTCTTGCCTATATCTTTGTACCTTTGCTCTTTATTGAACCCTTCTTCCCTCTCGATACCCTCGACACCCTCACCTAGTTTCCTAGGTTCTAAGCAAAGTTTTGATATGCTATCAGAGTGATATGTCCTGGCCTGTGGACCCGCCCTACTGCTTCCGCTGCTACTCTATGTTCGGCACGCCCCGTGGCGTGCCCCTAAACTTTCTCTTAGCGGCCCCGTTGCCGCCCTTTCAGGCCCCTCGCGGCCCCTTCGCGGCCCCGTCGCCGCCCTTCAGCGGCCCCGTCGCCGCCCTTTCAGCGGCCCCGTCGTCGCCCGCCCTTCGTCAGGCCCCGCTACGGCCCCGCTCCGGCCCCACTTAGGCCCTGCTACGGCCCCGCTACAGCCCCGACGCCCACCTGCGGCCCCGTCGCCCACCACGACCCCGTCGCCACCTGCGGCCCCGTCGCCCGCTGCGGCCCCGTCGCCACCTGCGGCCCCGCCACCTGCGGCCCCGTCTCCACCTGCGGCCCCGTCGCCCAATTCGGCCCCGATGCCACCTGCGGCCCCGACCCCGCCCCGGCCATGCCCTGTCGCCAGCCGCGGCACACCGGGGGCACGTGCACCGCCCCCCCCCCCCCCCCCCCCTTTTACCCGTCACCTGTCGAGGCGACCTGAGGGGGCCGCACTGGAAGGCGTGGGCAGGCGTCGCCCCCTCTGCCGCCTGCTTTGGCGCCCGGGGAGGCCGTGCGTCCTGCTGTGGGGGGGAGGGTGAAGGCGTGGCGGGAGGGACTCTGCAGCGCTAGCTGCTGCCCACCTCCTCTGCTCTCTCCCTGCAGTGCCAGTCGCTGTGGGGGGGGAGGGTGAGGGGGTGGTGGGAGCGTGGCTTCAGCACCAGCCGCAACCGCCTCCTCATTCCTCCTCTCTCCCTTCTGTTCTCTGTTTTCTGCGTTCTCTCGGCTCCTCCTCCTGCAGCCAGGCATATGCTCCTGCCTACTGCTGCTACTTCCGCTGCACTCTGCATGGTGTACCCTCTTTAGGGGGCGTTACTACACTCACACCTGCAAACAATTATGGGGGTGTGTCGAAATATGTTATTCATATTTATATAATTGTCTATAGTGTTAGTGTAGTTATGTTTCCCGTTTGGTGGTGCACCTCATTACCCTAGTTCTTGCCTATATCTTTGTACCTTTGCTCTTTATTGAACCCTTCTTCCCTCTCGATACTCTCGACACCCTCACCTAGTTTCCTAGGTTCTAAGCAAAGTTTTGATAATTACAACTATCATTACCTTACCATTACCATTATCATTACCATTGCCATTACCAATTACCGTTACGATTACCATAACAGTTACCATTACCATTACCACTACCATTAGCATTACCATTACCATTACCATTGCCACTACCATTACCAATACCATTACCATTACCATTTCTATTCCTTTAACGATTACCATTACAACTATCATTACCATTACCATTACCATAACCAAAACACTCTCATTACTATTACCATTACCATTACCATTACCATTACAACTACCATTACCATTACCATTATCATTACCATTACCATTATCATTACCATTACCATTACCATTCCCCTTTACCATTACCATTACCATTACGATTACCATTACCACTACCATTACCATTACCAATACCATTACCATTACCACTATGATTACCATTACCATTACCATTACCATTACCATTATCATTACGATTATCATTACAACTACCATTACCGTTACCATCCATTACTCAAACCATTACCACTACCGATCCATTACCATTATGATTACCATTACGATTACCCTCACAACTACCATTACCATTATTATTACCATTATCATTACTATTACCATTACCATTACCACTGTCAGAATGAGGAATGGATGTTGCATTGATGTTGGTTGGGGTACATATGACAAACCCTAACTTCTGTACCCCCTAAGACAAACCTCACTACAGGCTACAACATTTGACACACCCCCATAGCCTAAGTGAGGGGTGTCTAGCAAAAACAAAAAAGAGTACGGTCACAAGACCAGTCCAAAAGAAAACAAAGCTCAGGGTGGATCACAACGTCACCACACACTCTGAGCACAAGCAACAGTGGCCACAAGGCCAGTCCAAGAGATCACAAGTATATATAGTAAGTGTACAGACGAAGCAGGCAATAAACTCAAGTCTACGCATGACTAGAACCTGTGTCAACAAGGCCTAACTGCACACAACACCTCTGGTGGTCACAAGGCGGAAGCGCCTTGGTGAAGATGTCTGCAGTGTTGGCCTCGGACTCTACAAACTCGAAGCGAGCCTGTCCACGCCTCTGCAACTCTCGCAGAAGAAAGTACCTGATGTGAATGTGCTTCACTCTGCTCTCCAGTCGCGGCTCACGACAGAGGAGGATCGACGCCTTGTTGTCAGTAAACAAGGTCGGTGCAGAGCTCGGCCGCTCACCAAGGTCGGCGAGCAAGAAGGTCAACCACCGTAACTCCTGTGCCGCCATGGCACCAGCGTAAATCTCAGCCTCAGCTGTAGAGGTCGAGACAGAAGAGGAGCGCGTGGAACGCCAGGAAACAGCTCCAGAACCCAGACTGAAACAGTACCCCTGAGTAGACCTGTGAGTCTCAGCGTCGTCAGCGTAAGAGGAGTCACAGTGACCAGTGAGTACGACAGACTGCTGCCCTCCAAGAACTAGCCCCACGCCTGATGTAGTCGCTAGGTACTTCGCCACCCTCACAGCTGCCGTCCAGTGAACAGGACGGTGTCTCCCTGGCGCAACAAAGCGCGCAAGGATGCTGAGAGGGAAGGCGAGGTCCGGGCGAGTACAAGTCATCAGGTACATGAGGCAACCCACAAGCTCTGCGTAGGGACCACTAGGCTCAAACGGCTCGTCAGGAAAGGGACCAGTGAGTCTGTGGTCAACAGCTAGAGGTGTGCGCTGTACGGTGGAGTGCTGAAGCCCGAACCGCTGAAGGACCTGCTGCACCATGTGTGACTGTGAGAGTGTAATGGTGCGAGCGGCTCTGTCCCTGGTGATCTGCAGGCCAAGGTAGTGGCGCAGCTCACCAAGATCAGTGCACGTGTGTCTCTTCTGCAGTTCGGACTTCACGTCTGCCAAAGCAACCCTGTCCGAAGTGGCGAAAACGAGGTCGTCGACGTAGACCAGAACAAAGAACGGTGTGGAGCCACGACGAACGAACAGCGACGGGTCGGCAGAAGACGGCTGGAACCCAAGGTCAGAGAGGGTAGAACGCAGAGTGTCGTGCCACTCACGAGGGGCCTGGCGAAGACCGTAAACAGGTCGCCTCAGCCTCCACTGGGTCCCAGGAGGGAAGGTGCCAGTGAAGGCCGAGGGACGACGCAACCAGACCTCCTCGTGTAGGCTGCCCTGAAGGAAAGCAGTGGAGAAGTCGAGAGAGTGTAACTCGTAGTCTCTCTGTGCTGCTACGTGTAGTAACACCCGAAGAGTGGTCATCTTCGGGGTAGGTGCGAAGGTCTGAAAGAAGTCAACTCCCTCGCGCTGACTGAAACCTCTAGCCACGTAGCGCGCCTTGAAGACCGGGGGAGATCCCGGTGGCCGCTTCACCCTGTAGATCCACATGCCGTCGACTACGTTCGCCCCAGGGGGGGGAACCTCATCGACGTAGGTGCCTGTGGATCTGTAGGAGGCCATCTCTGCGTCCATGGCAGCTCTCCACTGAGAGGCCCAAGGCCCTGACACTGCCTCAGCGTAAGTGCGAGGAGTCGGAATGTCAAGGGCGTCGGGGTCACCCTCAGGGGCGAGGAGCATGGCACAGAGATGAGGGGAAGCGGCCGCCAGGAACTCTAGCTCAAACTGCCTGTCCTCTAGGGCGTCACAGCCAAGGGCAGACACACCCCCGACGGCCAGAGGACTGGTAGGAGGAGCAGCCACAAGCGTGGTGGCGTAGTCAAGGCGGCGGGTAGAGGCAAAGTCAGTAACTGCGGCAGTAAGAGCGGACACAGAGGACACAGAGGCACGAGGGTGAGTAACAAGAGAGGCGAGAACACGAGAGAGAACAGGACGGTACGTGCGGTAGTAGTCAGTGACAGGAGTAGGGAGCGACACAGTGAGGGCCGACTCAGGAGGAGACGGAAGCACAGACTGAGACGGACGAGGTGGACTAGAAAGAAGGAAGGCAGTACGAAGGTCAGTGAAGGGAACAGGAGACGAGGGACGAGCACGAGGGGAGCGACGAGTAGCCCAAGAATGAGACGGAGGAGGAGAGGACAAAGGCGGAGAACTGGGGAAAACAGCGGGGGAGGAGTCAGGAGGAGGAAACGTGGGACCGTAGACAGGAGGAGAGGCGGAGGAGGGAGGAGAAGGGGAGGGGAGACCAAGGATCCGAAGACCCGAGACAGGAGGAGGAAGTGGCTGCTGCTGCTGCGGCTGCGACTGCTGCTGCTGCGGACGCGGCTGCTGCTGGGACTGCTGCTCCTGCGGGTCCAGCTGCTGCTGCTGCTGCTGCTGCTCCTGCGGCTCCAGCTGCTGCTGCTGCTCCTCCAGCCGCTGTAACTCCCTCTCCTCTCTCTCCAACGCCAGCTGCTCGTCACGGGCACGGCGAACACGAGCCTGGTGCCTAGTCGGGTAGGGGTGGGGGGGTGGAGTAGTGTCCGAAGCAGCGGCAGCTCCAGAGTCCACCTCAGAAGAACTAGGCGCACCACCCCCAGAGGCAGCACTAACACCAGCTCCAGAACCAGGCTCACCTGAACCCGAAGGAGGCGCACCCTCACCCCCAGACGCAGCACCCCCAGTGTCCGCGCGGCCAGCACCAGCTCCCGGACGACAAGAGTCCTCTGCACCCACCGGGTCAGCTCCAACTCCAGAACCAGAAACTCCAGCTCCAACCCCAGCTCCAACTCCAGCACCCCCAGAACCAGAAACTCCAGTGCCAACTCCAGCTCCAACTCCAGCTCCAACTCCAGCACCCCAGAACCAGAAACCGGTACAGGAACAGGCGCCTCACCAACCTCTCGAGAGCTAGCACCAGCGGCACGCTGCGAGGAGGACTGTGGGGAGGGAGGCTGTACCGGAGGGGCTACCGAAGGAGGAGGGGTAGCCTGGGACACACCTGACGGGGCTGGACCAGGGGGGGGAGGCTGTACCGGGGGAGCAGGAGGGGGAACGGCAGTCAGGAAGAGGGGGGGAGGAGGAACCGGGAGACCTCGACTGGGGTACCTGACGTAGTACGGAGTGGACTCCTCGAAACGGACGTCACGGGAGTCAAAGAACCGGTGAGAGGGAGGGTGGTAAAAGGTGAAGTCAGAGGAGTCCTCAGGGAAACCAAGGAAGACACAGGGGACGGCACAAGGCGAGAGCTTGTCCGCGGAGGTGTCGCGGACAAGAGCCAAGCACCCCCAGACACGAAACCGCGACGCAACACCAGGGGACCCTGTCCAAAGACTGGTCGGTGAAACCTCTGGTCGAGAGACACGTGGCCAGAGGTTCAGCTGGTGCGCGGCGTACCTGACCGCGTAGGGCCACAGAAAATGGGGGGCACAGGCGTGAGTCAGGGAGGTGCGGGCGATCTCCATGACCAGGCCTATGCGGCGCTCAGCAACCCCATTCTGCTGTGGGGACTCTGGAAGCGTCCAGGACTGACGAATGCCCTGCTCGCGACAGAATCCAGCGAGAATGCCGGAGCGAAACTCACCCCCACGGTCGGAGTGGAGACAGCTGACACGACGACCACGAGTGTCCTCAGTGGTGAGCAACCACCTGATCAGCGTAGAAGTCACCTCAGACTTCTTCGCCAGAGGGAACACTGTGGTGTAGCGGGAGAAGTCGTCAACTACCACCAGAAAGTAACGCTCACGCTCAGGGCCTAGACGAGGGGCTGGGCCCCAGACGTCCAAGTGAAGCGTCTCAAAAGGCTCGGTGGCCGGACGAAGGGAGGAGGAGTGAGGGGTGGCGCGCAGCCTACCCTCGACGCAGGGACGACACGGCGGCGCAGGCGAAGGCGGCAGCGACGGCAAGACACGTGGGAGGCCTAGGACAAGACGCTGACTAGACATAGCGCGCAGACGTGGAAGGGACGGGTGCCCCATCCGGTGGTGCCACAGAACGGTGGGGTGGGCAAGCGACCGGCAGGAGCACGACGCAGCGACTGGAACAGACGTAGGAACCTGACACGACACAGACACCTGGGGGGACGTAGCAACCTGGTGAGACGCGGGGACCCGAACGGGGGGGGGAACCGGGGGCAGTGGCAGTAGGGGGGGCTGCTGGTGCGGCCGCTGGTGCTGCTGCTGCTGCTGCTGCTGCTGCTGCTGCTGCTGCTGCTGCTGCTGCTGCTGCTGCTGCTGCTGCTGCTGCGGCTGCTGCTGCTGCTGCGGCTGCTGCTGCGGCGCACGCGGGCCAGTGTGAAGAGTGTAGAGACCCGAGCCCGGCTCAGCAGTAAAGGTAGCAAGAGGCTGGTAAGAGTCTCCGTCAACACACACCGCAGTCTCTCCAGAAGGCTCAAACCACACACCCACGTGCTGACTCACGAGGGGTCGCACGCCCACCAAGTTCCGGGAGAACGAGGGGACGTGAAACCCAGTGAGAGACCCGGAGGGAGCAGCAGGACACGGTAAAGTGGTAGTGTGACGTGCAGTGACTGGTCCCGTAGTGGGATCAGCCAACGCTACAGAAACAGGCGCAGGAAGTGGTGTAAGTGTCGTGCTGTCCCGAAAGAAGCAGTGGGAGGCTCCAGAGTCCAGTGTGAACGACAGCGAAGCGTCCTGTGAGGTAGTCGCTGGTCTAGAGTCTACACAAGTACCTACACTAGCAACAGGCAACTGAGCAAGACTAGCACCTAAGCTAACAACACCAGAGTAAACAGAGTCAGAAACACTAGAGTCAACAACAGCATACATAGCATGAGGAGCACTAATCAGATCAACTAACTGCTCAGCAGACATGCCCCACAGAGCGGAGCCGTAGCGCTGAACCAGAGGAAGCCAGTCAGGAGCAGGACCGCCAACCCCGTAGGTCAACCGGACCGTGTCAGTGAGCTGAGCAAAGCACTGACCAGGGGGGTGAAAGCGGCCACAAGGGTGGCCCCGATGAGGACCTGTCTGAACCTGGTAGGGGCAGGGAGGGTAAGCAGCACCGCGCTGGGGCTGACGCAGCCCCGACCCCGGAGCCAGCTGCTGACGCTGCTGCTGCTGAGGCTGCTGGGAGGAAAGGGGCTGCTGCTGCTGCTGAAGGTGCTGCTGACGCTGAGCCTGGTACCACGCCGCTGCTCCACCTAGCGGGGCCGGCAGTACAGGAGGCGACTGACGAGCTCGAGGGTCGCCGCCACCAGCAGGTGCAGTGGAGTCACCAGCCGCTGCACGAGGGGTCTCTCCAGACGCTGCACTCCCACCACCGCCAGTCGCAACAGCACCCCCACTACCTCCGCTACCTCCGCCTCCACCTCCACCGGAACCACCTTTCTTGCCCCCCCTGCCGCGGGACCGCGACGCAGTCGTAACAGCAGCCGCAGTCGCGTCAGTAGCGGCAGTGGCAAGAGAGGCAATGAAGGTGGGTAACTGCGGGACTGTGCACCCGTGGAAGAGTGGGGGGGACACAGTACCAGAGGCGGCAGCTACCGAACGAAGGTTGCTCTCGACGTCCTTGAGTGCAGACTCAAGGACCTCGATAGTCAGCTCACTAGGGTGCTTCAGCAGAAGCGCGTCACGAACGGAGGCAAGGCGGTCAGGGAGGCTAGTGGCGATGAAATAGACAGTAATCGCCATGGGGGGAGGAAGCAGTGCAAGCTGTGCCTCAGTGCAAGCAGCGCGGTAACTAGCGTCGAGCGAGCGGAGGTGAGCGATCAAGTCAGCAGAGCGCTCAAACGAGGCAAGATCAGGTTACAGGAACGGGAGGAAAAGACGGCCGAGAGAGACAGTAGCGGGAGTAGAGTAGCGGGCCTTAATCGCAGTGAGGTACGCAGCAGCGGTGCGAACCTGAGTAAAGTGGACCTCCTCGGACTCAGGGAGGAGGCTGCTGAGTGCGATGCAGGCCGCAGCTTCACGCGACGTCCAAGCCGTCCGGTCAGCGCGCTGACGGGCAAAGCGAGCCGTAGCAGCGTCGTCAGGAGCAGGGCCTAAAGCGGTAGGCTCGGGGGGCTCGGGGAGGTCACCAGTAGCGTGTGACCAGAGGGTCTCGCCCCCCTGGACCTGACTCTCTAACAGACGACGAGCGCGAAGAAGCCAGACGGAAAAGTCAAGGGGTCTACCATCAGCGTCGAAACGAAGAACTCGCGGAGTCGCCATAGTGAGAACCGACGCGAACGAACAGGCGAGTAACAACCGGGGGGGAAGAGGACTCAGTCGCAGCGGAAGAGCGGGCTAGGGCGACGGACCAAAACGTAGGGTAGGGCAACGGGCCAGGGCCTAGGGTTGGGCGACGGGCCAGAGCCTAGGGAGGGCGACGGGCCAGGGCCTAGGGAGGGCGACGGGCTAGGGCCTAGGGAGGGCGACGCGACGGGGGAAAGGGCGGGAGCGACGCGACGGGGCAGGGCGACGCGACGGGACAGGGCGACGCGACGGGGCAGGGCGGCGCGACGGAGCAGGGCGACGGGACAGGGCAGGGCGACGCGACGGGGTAGGGCGACGCGACGGGACAGGGCGACGGGACGGGACGGGACGGGACAGGGCGACGCGACGGGACGGGACAGGGCGACGCGACGGGACAGGGCGACGCGACGGGACGGGACAGGGCGACGCGACGGGACAGGGCGACGGTACGGGACAGGGCGACGCGACGGGACAGGGCGACGGGACAGGGCAGGGCGACGCGACGGGACAGGGGGGGAACAGGCGGGCGCGACGCGACGGGGGGAACAGGCGCGACGCGACGAGGGGAACGGGCGCGACGCGACGGGGGGAACGGGCGCGACGCGACGGGGGGAACGGGCGCGACGCGACGGGGGAGATGATGCTAGGCTCGGTACTAGGCGCGGTAACAACTAAACTGGTACGAACGAGAGGTAGGATCAGGCTCGGGAGGTACGAACGGAGAACGGAGGAACGGGATCCCACAGGATCCTAACCTAGCTGATACCATGTCAGAATGAGGAATGGATGTTGCATTGATGTTGGTTGGGGTACATATGACAAACCCTAACTTCTGTACCCCCTAAGACAAACCTCACTACAGGCTACAACATTTGACAACCACTACCATTATAATTACCATTACAACTACCATTACCATTATCATTACCATTACCATTATTATTACCATTACCATTACCATTACCACTACCATTACCATTACCATTATTATTACCATTACCATTACCACTACCATTATCATACCATTACCATTACCATTACGATTATCATTACCACTACCATTACCATTACCATTACCTTTACCATTACCAATACCATTATCATTACCATTACTATTACCATTACAACTACCATTACCTTACCATTACCAGGACCATTTCCATTACCTCTACCATTACCATTACTATTACCATTATCATTACCATTACCATTGCCATTACCATTACCATTACCATTACAATTACCATTACAACTACCATCACAATTACCATCACCATTACCATTACCACTACTATTACCACTATCATTACCATTACCATTACAATTACCATTACCAATACCATTATCAATACCATTACCATTATAACAACCATTACCATTACCATTACCATTTCGATTACCATTACCATTACCAATACCAATACTATTACCATTACCATTTCCCTTACCATTACGATTACCATTACAACTACCATTACCACTACCATTACCAAAGTCATAACCATTACCATTACCATTTCCATTACCATTACAATTACCAATATTACTGCCATTACCATTACAATTACCACTACCATTACCATTCCGATTACGATTACCACTACCACTACCATTACCATTACCATTACGATTACCATTACCACTACCATTACCATTACCATTACCGTTACCATTACGATTACCATTACCATTACGATTACCATTACCACTACTATTATCATTACCATTATTATTACCATTACCATTACCATTACCACTACCATTAACATTATCAATACCATTACCGTTACCATTACCATTACAACTACCATTACCTTACTATTACCATTAGCATTACCACTACCATTATCATTACCATTACGATTACCATTACCACTACTATTACCATTATCAATACCATTACCATTAAGATTACGATTATCATTACCATTACCACTACCATACCCATTATCATTATCCTTACCATTACCATTACCATTACGATTATTATTACAACTACCATTACCATTACCATTATCATTACCAAAACCATTACCACTAGGATTACCATTACAACTACCATTACCATTACCATTAACATTACCATTACGATTACCATTACTACTACCATTACCATTACAATTACCATTACAACTACCATTACAATTACCATCACCACTACCATATTACCATTACAATTACCACAATCATTACCATTACCATTACCATTACTGCGGAGATAACTGCTGCAATGGGAGCTAGGCTACGGGCTAGGCACGTGTGCTCGTGTGATCTCTGCGTTTGTTCACTTAGTCGTTTCCTTGTGTTCACGCTGCTTGCTAGTTAACGGGGAGAATTGGCAAGAGTTTCGCTAGGAAAACATGACAATAATGGTAGCAACAACATTGGCATCACAGACTACATCAGTGCTAGCTAGGCTGCTGGTCGACCTCCAGCGTAGCACGGTCGACCGCGCTCCAGCGCAGCAGCGCTCGCACCGCTCCAGCGTTGCAGAATAGCGGTTCGCCAACGTTGCAAGTCCACGGTGTGCTAGCGCTGCAGCAAGTCGGCTGCACAACGTTGCACCCTCAGGACAACGGTGCACCTGCTTCACAGGTGCGCGCAGCTGGTTGGCGCTCCACACCTTGTCACGAGCACAGCGCAGATGCCTGGCAGACTCCACGCCAGCGACTGCGCCCACCAGCCACGTCGACCTCGGGATACCGCCCCCGAGGTCGGCCTCGTATACTCCACCCTAACGACACTCGCACACGTCGCCTGGGTATTTCGGTCGACCGGGCAAC